CCCAGACTGACAGTACTTTTGTTGAATAGCTTTTCCGCTTTTAGGTCTATTAGTTCATTCTCTCACTACCGTTACAACAAACCAAAAGATTTCATTTTATTTTTTAAATGTGAAATCATATCCAAGTCACATACAGTTATAATTCTAGCTGTATCTCCTTATTTTACCTTGCAAATTCCCAACAAGACAATTCGGATTACATCAACGATATTTCGGTCACTCAACTTTCTGCGTGGGTTTCTTAAAGACTCACAAATTACATACAACTCACAGTGATCAAAACAAGACGGTCCATAACATTATTTTAATACTAGTTTTTAACAAAATCCTCTTTTTATATTCACTAAAGCCTAGAATTTATTGAAATGTTTAACCCTATAATGTATGATGTTGCGCAGTTATTATTCACATGAATAAGTAATTTAGGTCGATATAACAACGCAAACAAAGCATAAAAGGCTTAAAATTGAATTAATGGTACCTATAATTGATTGAAATGAAATATTTTCGATAGAAACAATAATTTAGCTTGAAAAGCTGCGATTTGCCTGATATAAATACACCGTAAAATTACAAATTACGTAGAAATTGTTGATAATTAAATTTTAAACACATATCATACGAAAAATTTTTCTATAAAAGCAATAATTTAACTGAAATAAATACAACATACTATTTGTTCTGCAGATCAGGTGCTTAGCAAAAGAATCGTGAGTAATCTATGTGTTAAGCTCTTTTATGGTATCGAAAGGCTTCATAAGCTTAATTGCACTGCCTACGTACAGAATTGTATTGTCATTGGCAAAGAATAAATCTAGCGTCTTCTGCTTTGGAAGCAACTCATTTCAAAATATTTCGAAACGCTTCATTCTATTCAGCACCGTACACGGAGGATTAGATCCATAATTTGCATCACAGACTACTTCTTTGTATTATCAGCATCTAAATTGATTGAGTTTTTATCCAACTAGAAAATAAATTTCTTCATTAATAAATAGATAACGTTTTTCGAACACAACCATAAAGTGAACAATAAAAAGAAAGCAGAATCGCTTTCTACACCTGAACCGTCCATTTGGCAGCGAATTCCGTTTTGAAAAGAATAAACCCGAAGAAAGAAAAGACTGATGATGACCCATTCAAACATTTACCGCGGTTTGTTTACTGCGTGAAAAGGACTTGCCACGATAGCGAACAACCGAGCACGTTAGTTCTTTGTCGTATTATTTCCTCTCTTCTATGCCGAGCATGTTCGTTATGACCGAGGATATTTACGTATCTTTTCGATGTGGAATCTCCAGGTGAACTCTAACAGGTGTGTTTCCCCGTTGTTATAAGACCTTATTATTTTAGTTAGTTTTCTGGGTATTGTTTGGGTTCTAATTCTTGCTCGTCAAGGTTGCTTTCTATTTAACTCCATCGTGACGTCGTAAAGAAAAAAACTTGACTGTGACTTTCACTATCTTTCTAAGCCCGAGGCTTTATTAAGTTGCATCAAGAATTTTTGTGAAATTTTATTTTATTTTTATGTTTTTAATCTTTAGCATTTGAAATTCAAATTGTTTCTTGCAGTTATCTTTTAAGTGGTATGATGAATGGATTAGTTGGTAATAAATGAAACGTTGATCGATAGTTGAGGACTTTTGCACTTGGTCTTTGTGTCAGAGTGAGGGTAGGAATTTCTGAAAATCGATACAAAACGAACTTTGTAGGAGGTGGGGAGTTAGAACGATTTCTCATTGGAATCAGTGGAGTTGCAACAGGTCAATGTAGGAATCGAAGTTGTACGTTTATTACTTAATTAGCCGATTTCGTAATTATTTCTTTTTAATTTATTGTATAGTACTTTAAAATCCCTCTCAGCTATGTAGAAACAAGTCACAAGAGATATTTACGAGTAAACCGTTGATGAACACTGATTGCAGAAAAGGTATCTTCGCCGGGAGGTTCGAAACTGTTTACAACCTTAAAGTGTAAAAAATAACATTTCTTTAGTTCGAGAGGCTTTAATTATATTTTGGGACCCTACCAAAATGATATGGGATGACAGAACATAATAAATCGACTTCTTGGTTGTTATAAAGATTAAAATAAGTAAAAATAATTTTTTATTATTGTTCCCCTTCTTAAAAATTCTCAAACGCGCAACTTTAAAAGGTTACCACACCAAAGAGACTTTCTCTGTCTGCCCACTTTCTTGAATTACGTAATTTTGAAACGTATGTGTGCAAATAGCTCTTTTTAGAGATAATAATATAACGAAAAATGTCGTTTGAACGTATTCCATTTTGTATCTTAGCCGTTGGTGTTGCTAAATGACCTTTCAAAGAAATTCTGTTCCGTTCACCTTATTAATTCGTCCAAGGTTGACACCAAGACACGTTGCTTACGACAAGAAGTCGACGTGACTCAAGGAAAAAGACAGAAATATGTTATAAAACTAGGTGTGTTTGTGTTGGTTGTAACAAAAACTCGATTAATTTTATTCTTATTTGTATTATCTTAGTACAATAATTGCTTCTCCCACTATTATTCAAGATGCAAAGGTAGAAATTGCACGAATTCCAAAAGACAATATTTTCAAGGATCCAATAAAGGCGGTGGCATTTAATTTAACATCAACAAGTTCTGTTCTCATTTTAAAAACGAAATAAAAAACATCTTCACCTTATAATTTACATCAACCTCTTTTTTTATTTACTTTTAGGAAGATATAAAAAAATTATAATGAAACGTCAATTTGACAAATAAACGTCAACTTGACATATAAACGTCAAATTGACAGTTAAAACATCAATAAATAAAATTATCAGAAATGATAGAAATTCGTAACAAGGTCGCTCACGTAGCTCGTCTTTTAAAGCAGTCAGAATTCCAATGTGTATATCTGATACCATATAAAATACAGGTTGTACGGTATTTTAGCCTTTGTTACGGTACATTTTGACCTATACACGCCGTAATCTGACTTTTGTTAATGGTTTATCATGGATAAGAAATGTTTACAACAATCACTTTGTCCTGTGTGAGATTAATAAAGAGTCTTTAATAAAATGATGAGTTAAAAATAAAAAAAAAATTTGAAACTAACAAATTGAAACGAAAATGAATGCAAATTGCAAAAAAAATGAGGAAAACTTAAAGACGAAAAAGAGAAGGAAACGTTAAAAACTAATAACACGTCTCCAGTTTCGAAAACCTCAAAACTTTTCTTATTACGTCCCCTTTAGTAGCCGAAAAGTTTTTCGCGAAAATATGAACGGTAACCTAGAAAAATCGAACACCGCCAGCGGGGGGAAAGCTTAAATAATATCCTTCTTGTATCGGAAATACTTACTTCTTTTTATTATCCCTTTTGTAAGAAAAAAAAAGTCAGCGAAGATGAAATCGAACGAAAGGAAATAGAAATAAGCGGATTCCTAGATTTCCGGATTTTGATGACGTTGTCGTTGTAGATTGGAAAATCAATTTAAAACCGAAATGTACAGATTATAAGAACGATTATTTCCAAAAAAGTCAAGTAATTCTATTTTTATTAATAAAATTATATAAATTAGTAATTTATTAATAAATTTTAGGTTAGATTTTTTTGACAGCTGATATAACTATCGTGAAGTTAAAAGAATGCCAACGTTAAATAAAAAAATTAATTTCTATTTTGAGACAATCAATTAAATACATTTAAAAACCTTGAGATAACATATATTAAATTAAAATTATATTAAAAAAACATTTCTGGATTACTATAAAATTAATATTTCGAGTTTATAGATATTTTTAAATTACATTTACGATGTGTAGATGGCGTTCGTTTTGTTAGTATTGATAGTGAATTTTTCAAAAAAAAATTAACATTCAAAAGTTAAATTACTCTTGAAATAACGAAAAAAAAGCGTTAATAACGAAATATGGTTGGATTTAAATTGGATGCTTTTAGTTTGTTAATTTACTCGCTTCTCCAATTACACGGTTTTATTGAGATTTAAAAGTATTGAATTTAGTTATTTATATTTTTATATTATACGACATCATTTCGCCAGTTAATAGGTTATTTTATTGGTTGAATAATAAGAGATAATAACAGGTATGAACGGTATTAAAGCACAAAATAAATGAATGATCAAAAACTGGATTTTTGCCAGAGAATGAACATTCTATGTACTCTATTTGTATCATGTATCATTTAACCGTTCTCTAGTTATAATCAATGTGAATCGTTTTGTTGTTTAACCACGTAGTTTTTTCATTACAATTTACGGGTAACCAGAGAGATAAAACATAGAATAACTGAAAGCAGGAAAATTATGGGATGCCTTAACAGTCTATGGTGGGACAAGAACATGAGAAGAGGAACTAAAAAGATACTAGAACGAGAGTCAATCCTGGGCTATGCTAGTGAGATATGGGTCGTAAACGCAGATCTAGAAATATGTATATAATGTATATAAAAAACAAACCGAATACAAAACCGTTCAAAAAAATAAATGAAGGTATGGCCAGACTACCAATTTACTGAATACAAGGTTAGTTACTGTGTTGAATGTCTTGTATTAAGATGTTAATTTAGATTTTTTCATTCGAGTGTTAAATTAAATATTAACTATATGAAATAAACAATGATACTATTTTATATCAGATGATGAACACATCGCAATCAAATAAATACTATTTGACCGTTGTGGTATGCCAAATACTACATCGAATTTGCGTACTTCTCGTTAAATGTCAAGGATCCCATCGCGTTGCATATCTTTTCTTACCGAGCCTCCCATTACCATATTTAACCGTTTATTCGCGCCGCTTACTGTTATTTTCCGTTTCGAGCACAGGCAAAACTTTTAGTACTTATTATTATGATAAAAGATCAAAAACGAAAATTGTCTGAAAAGTTCTTTAGGACTCCCATTTAAGTAAAGAACTTTCAGTTATAATAAATGGTGGAGGATAAATTCGTTTAAGAAATAGACTAATAAATGATTTAAGACTATTTTAATCCTTACCTTGTGATTCCACTCCCACACACATCAACCAGAAAAGACATGTATAGAAAACGGTTTTCCCCAAGGAAAACATGTCCGGAAACTAAACGAAAAGCTCCGCGACACCAAAAGTTTTTTTTTGTTCTTTTCCACAAAAATTCAAATTATTATTTAAGATTATTTATTTATTTTTGATTAAACTTGTGTTCTTCCCCGATTAATTTTTTTTTATCGGATTAAAATACAAAACCACACACACAGCTACCTGGATAGTTTAGTTATAGTAAAGATAGTAAGCAATAAACGGTACTTTATGGTTACATCACATGTCGAGAAGATCTCTCTTAGTAGTAGCGAGAGCTTAGATCTTCTCCTTTTCTTACACCTGGTTGTCTCTTTTGCGGCGCGGCTCGGACAAACACTTACTATATCTGTATACTCTTTCAGAATCTCGCGAAGACTCCTCCGGGTGGAAAGTGAAAAGCGCTGACGCGGCTTCACGAACGGCGCGGTTACGACTGGCGAAAGACGCAGGAATCGCCGGACCTGCTGCTCACGCAGCCTTTCACCGGAGCTGCTGGTGGGCTTATGCTGAACAAACTACGTTTTAACCAGCAGAAGCAGAACCAAACCCCCAGATACATTATAAAGAAACTCCCCTTTCTTTATTAATAATGTATACGTTATTCTTTTAACAACTAATTTTTTACTTTACACTCATATTTTTGATATTTATAATTTTATATCATACATAAAAATATATATATGTATAAATGGCTAAAAAAATAGGACGATTCTGCGTGTTTTATGCAAATAGCCCGCTAAATAATAAGCTTTTCGTGTTGAACAGAAGGGATTCAGTTATATAATTGCATGTTAAACAATAGCTAAATCGATGAGATTATACAATTCAATACGCAGTAGATTCACAATATTGTTGGTTCTCGATATCCATACTGTTTCGATGTTAAAGATATAGATAATTAATAGATCTGCCTTCCCAACCTAAGACAATTCTAATCGGTTAACCTCAACTTTTTGTTAACATCAAATGAGGTTAATTTTTATTAAAATATTTATTTATTTTAAGTGAAGAGTTGATGGTTTACGTTCAAAGTGGATAATTAAGATTTAGTGCCGTCCCGGACGAAAGCGGCGGCTTCTCGTTCCATTGAAAGTATCACAACTAACGCCTCGTAATCTAACGGAAAGGGACATCCTCTCCTCTGAAAATGCGCCGAGGATCGCGCCGCGCATAATTCAGCCAGCGACAAAACCGCCAGCTAGTAATGAAGCCCATTCAACTGGGGAGTTGCGTTGCGAACGCGTTTTTTTCTTTATCCAGAGAACCAACCAGGACCACACGCGTTTCTACCAGCAGTAAGAGGAATGAGCAAATCTCTCTCAAAAGGAAACGCCCAAAACGAAAAACATGTTACATAGAGAAGATAATCGAATAATAAATTTACTAAGTACTGAGTATATCAAAATTAAGAAATAGTTGATTTATAACTTTTTATCGAATACCTTTTCAGGTAGTTGAACCAATATAAATGGGTGGATGTTTCGAATGAAACATATCCCATCAATCACCGGAATACCTTCTTTTTTAACATCCTCTTTCGGTTATTATTATTTATTTATTTTCGAATGTGATGAATTGAGCGGGTTCCTTTTTGCAACGACGTCAACCTTCTTCTGGGGAATAAAAGGAGATTAATAGCTGTTTGGCTGTCAAAACCCTCTACTAATTAATATTGTCAACTTCCCTTTTTCACTCTTATTCAGCGACGACACGAAACAATATAAGCTGTTTTGTAAAGGATTAAAACCGTTTGTAATTATTAGTTGATGTGGAAAATTTAGTTTGCTTGGACCATCTTAATTGGTCCTGTTAAATATAAATTTGGTTTTAGTAATAGAAAATTTGCATAACAGAATTAGTTCCGCGAAAGTATTTAGAGGTAGTAAATTATGATTTATTCTCGGTCCTAAACAGAAACCGCACGGCGCGTTAACCGTTTTCGTCGAAACGTGATTAACGATAGCGATAACTGGAAATTAAGTAGCCGGTAAATCAACTCTCCTCGGTTTGAAATTATTACCGGTTTGTTTGGGATGTGTGGTTGGGTTTAAGTTCCTTCTTAAACCCCTCAGAAGTAATAAGTAGCTTCTCTGTTAGACGTCTAATACTTCCTCATGGCTAAAAGTTAAAACCACCGTCAACATCCACGCGGGGATTCTAAACATTTACCTCCTTTAAATCGATTTTTAATTTTAGCTTAAATAATTAATACGAAAACTTTTAAAGCCCAATATTTAAAATGTTAAATAGGGTGTCACTAATCCTCGCTCCAAGAGAAAATTCCCCCGAACACTTCGAGAGAAGGAATGCTTATATTAAAATCTACTTACTTAACAGCCACAAGACGATATGAATTGCAAATTACTCTGGAAAATATTTCCATTTAATTTCTTCCGAAACATAATAAAATTGTATATTCTAACAAAAATTTCCAAGTAATAATTTTGATGCATCAGTAAAGTGTCGGTTAATAGGTCGAGAAAAGCTAAGAAGATGGACTTTCGTTCCATTAAGGCCTCCGTTTAACATTAAACGAGAGACGTATGTACGAGGGCCTTCGCAATCTCGACGGAATAGACGCAGGTCCCGAGGCGCTTCCTACGTAATGGGTCGCCCATAAAAGTCGATGTTTTCAAATAACTGTTACTTATTGCTGTTTGCCGTACGTTACGACCGGAACGTGTCCCCCTTTTTCCAAACCTATTCCATCGAAACACGTACATTTATAACGATAAATACAGATTCGAACGATTTTTAACAGTTATATTGAGTTATGTCTTTATTAGGTTGTATACAAAGCTTAATTGTGCGAAGTTATATTAAAAAGAAAAAAATAATATGTTGTTTTATTAGATTTATTGGGTTGGTTTTTGTAGGACACATGTATATGTCTCATTATTATCTTAACTACTATGATACAATCATAACCCAACGAATGCAGAAAGCACTACTACTTACTAGCACTTGGTGCAAAAGCAATGGGCTCAGCATTAATCCAAAAAAAATCAAAATGATGTTATTCTATGTTACTTTTTTCATTGTTTATGGCAATGAAAAGATGGGCAAGCTGGCCAAACAGGCAGCGAAAACGCCCTTTATTGAACACCAACCCGGTTGTGGACTACGAAAAAGTTACTTAAAACAGGTAATCAATAGTTGAGAGGCCTCAAAGGTAACCTTACGCTGGAAAGAAATTTTGGGGAGTCTAAGTTACAATAGATTTTATAGGCCGCAGTGACGAGAGGAGCCCGGCAGCATTCTGTCGTACTTAATGAAGAACTTGTAACTTCATCATACAAGTAAATGACTATAATTAGTGTTTGTATTAAAAACACCTGTATCTTATATACAAAGCTTAATTGTGCGAAGTTATATTAAAAAGAAAAAAATTATATGTTGTTTTATTAGATTTATTGGGTTGGTTTTTGTAGGACACCTGTATATGTCTCATTATTATCTTATTAACTATTTACTAGCACTTGGTGCAAAAGGAATGGACTCAGCATTAATCCAAACAAAATCAAAATAGTCCCTTTCTGGAGGAGCCCTTATTTGGTACACCGATGCTTCAAAGACAGTTGGATTCGGAGTAAGTATAGGCATTAGTGGACCAAATAGCCGCATTAATTTGCCCTTCAACTCGGACATAACCATTTTTCAAGCAGAAGTTCTGCTATAAACTTCTGCACCGTTTTGAACCTAGAAAAGGGACAGAAAGGTGCATCCAATTCAGACCTGAGAGAACTCGAATGATGTTACTCTCTTCATTGTCTATGGCAATGAAAAGATGGACAAGTTGGCCAAACAGGCAGCGAAAACGCCCTTTATTGAACACCAACCCGGTTGTGGACTACAAAAAAGTTACTTAAAACAGGTAATCAATAGTTGAGAGGCCTCAAAGGTAACCTTACGCTGGAAAGAAATTCCAGAGCACAGAATTTTCGGTAAATTACGCCTGACATATACCGACATAAAGGAACAAGACCTTGGAGCAATACTAAGGTTCATCATATTTGCTCTAAACTTTTGGGGAGTCTAAGTTACAATAGATTTTATAGGCCGCAGTGACGAGAAGAGCAACTTATAACTTCATCATACAAGTAAATGACTATAATTAGTGTTTGTATTTAACTTCATCATACAAGTAAATGACTATAATTAGTGTTTGTATTAAAAACACCTGTATCTTATAATTAAAGTAAATTCCCAAGAAAATGTTAAAAACCTCGATTTCCTCTGTTAATAATTTATGTGAATTCCTAAAGTATACTTGTATAGTAAGCAAGTTTCATTGTTGTGTTATTACATTGTATATGAATACAATTCGACAATATAATAATTTAAGAAATCTAAGTTGTATATAAGGGTTTGTGACTTTTTTTGTTGTAAACCCGGCTACTACTCTACCATAACGAAACAGGACGTCTTCGAAATTTATAGTTCTAGGCGTAATATATCACGTTGTTATACGCACAAAAGCCTGGAAACGCGCGTACAAAAATGGTCGGGTCTCGGCCGTTTGAAAACGAAAAAGAAAAAAAGCGAAACCAAAAGAAAAGATTCGCCTGAAAAGCGAAAGTGGCGTCCAAGCGAACGTGGACGACGTTTATCTGCGCGCGGTGCTTCGCGGAAATATAATTTATGTTTCAATTTTGCGTGTCCGCATAGAGAATAGTTTTGAATTTATCGCCGACGCGCGCGGGCCGTTTAATTTGTCAAGATGGACGCGCTTGTTTACACGTGTTTCGTACGCGTGTGCGTGGAGTGCGCGCGCTGCTCCCGCTCGCACTACGTCGCGACGCATAAATATCACGAGAAATGTTCCCTCGAATGGAAATAAAAAGACGCAAAAACGGACAATGCAGCTAAATATTTCATTTGCAGCCCGCAAGATCGAATAGACAAGATACGGTAAACCACCCTGTATATATACATATATACTTCACCTCTTCTACCTCTTCTTTACCTCTTCTCCATCAACTACGGTATGAAGAGTTTTCGTTTTATTTTGCGAACTTAAGTATACGAATGGTATTACCTTACAACGTGACTTATGTTCGGCGTCGGTCAGTTTTGACTGGTCTTTATCTATTCCTTGGGTATCGAATGAAGTAAACCCAGTAAATGTGATGCTCTCAGAAATATAAATGAGAGGAAACGGAAATTAAACCGGGGTTTTCCCCTGGTTACAGGTTGCTTTTATTCTTATGGGGCGAGAGATAAATTGGAAAATTTACGAGACAATTAACTCCCGGCTTTTACGGCTACCATCCGAAAATCCACCAATTATGTTTCATTACTAAAACAGACGCTATAACATTTATTAAATTATTTATTACATAAAAGGATATGATATGGACACAGTACATTCTAAAAGAATAACATACATTGTATGAAATTTTCTATCAATTCTTGCATCGTTAACATCATATATTTTTTTATACAGTATGTAGTAGGATTTGAGAAATGAAATTTTTTGAGGTTATATAACAAGAATTATTCTTTATTTTATTGCAAATATTTTAACTCAAAAATTATCTTTTTTTTATAAAAATGGAAAACAAAAATAACATTGATAACATTCGCAACATTAAACAATATTGTTCCGATTAAAATATTCGTGTAAAATTAAAAACTATAGAAAGTCTTAATCTATGAAGTAGAGCGTCAAGTCTTGATATTCCCCATTAACGATTGAAATTAAAGCCTTTTAAATTATAGACCGTCTTTAAACGGTTCTAATGTTCAATTTGCGTGGTTGCAATATCTACGAACGGGTAGAAAGTTTAAAGTTTTCGTATACATTGTCGATTTTAATAAGTAGACCGAGATATTACAAATTAAAAGCGCTTTCGCTTTAGAAAATTTAATTTTAATCGTTTAAAAGTATCTTATATTTATAAGACGTTTAATAATTTGGTATTAATTCGGGGTGAGGATGCGAGGTGGTTTTGGAAGGATGTGGTTTTGATGAGGTCAGCGTTTATTTAGCGAAAAGTGGTGTCGAAAAGCAAACAGGTTTCGAACGTCCTTTATAAATTCATATCGGCCTTTTCCAGGTAAGAGTGGACACAGTGAAGCCTTTTAAACGAGAAACGGTTCGTTCACCCCTTTCCCATGACTAATCAAAAGACGTCCATTCGACGGCGTCGTCGGAACCTTTTTGTCGACAACTCGAACAGTCAGAAGCAATTTTTGCCAAATAAAAAATAAAAAAACGAAACCAGATTTTCTTACAACCAAGAACTCAATTTTAAATAAACACTGAAAATCATTTAGATTTACCTTAAAACTGAAATTAAGTCTGAAATTAAGAGTTAAATAAGAGTTGTAATAACGTCTTGGTGTTTTTCTTTAGTATAACCTCTGCTCCTCGTTAAAGAGGATGGCTCATCTCTTGGGCGCCTCTGGAAAAGAATAAATTCCACGAATGTGCGCGACTTGCTTGCAACGAGTCTCATCTCTAATTTACACGCGGCTTGTTTCTTACAGGTGGCGTCGTATATTATGCCTTAATGTCACGAAAATGTGAGAGCTCGGAAGATTTTTTTTTCCTCATCAAATTCTAACGCAGCTTCCGGGTCGTTCCCGTGGGCGTAAATTCGCACATAAATTCCAACTAAAACCTTACGCCCAAGCCTTTTATCTCCTGATTGATTACGATGACGCGCAACTTTTGATAAGAACATTTTATAATAAAATGATGCTCAATAAAATAAAATAAGAATGAGATGTTCAAGAATTTCAACTTGATGTCAAATATTTTATTTTTCCACATATTTTCTTAAAGAGATAAGATAATACAGGTGGTGAGAACGAGTCTTGAATTATCCACATATTAGGTAAAAGGAATTTTGAATTTGAAGGCTCAATTCATTAAAACATAATTGTACAAATTCCTTTTACTAAAAGAAATTATTTCTTATTTAAAAAAAAATAAGTTATGAGCTTTCCCTCACGTAAATGTTGATAAGAAATTGTAATTAACCACATTACATAGTGAATCATAATTTCATTAAAAAAAAATCTCGAAAACGTTTATTATGTTCCCGTCCATGTCCCACCCAGGTCCCCATTAGTCCTTAGATGAAGTTACAACGTTCTAACATTCACGTCGGTGCTTTCTTAAAGGAAAACCGCCTTGATACACAGTTTCAACCTGCACTCGGTTTAATTGCAATAATCCATCACGGCCCAGAATAAATAGCGACTAATTTACGTTTATTTTTAAAATTTTCAATTTCACCCTTAGAATTCCGGACGGTTCAGGAATTCTCTTAGATTTCTTTAGAGGGATTCATTTGTGTCCCCTTATTGTGCCCTCCGGAGACGAAGGACTTTCGGATTTTCGTCTCCCCACATCGAGAATAAAAAAGGAACCCTTTTCGTTTGCCCAAAAAGTAAGCTCGAAGGCATTGAATTTTTTTTACGAACTCAGAGCCTTTTAAACGGGTAATTGGAGGCGTGCCAAGAATTTTACACCGTCCTGACCATAAATTGGATATTGATTTCGGCTCGGCGTCAGTTGCTTTTAATGAAAATCAAACACAAATTTAATTTGATGCAGTTATTTATTAGTTATTTGATATTGTTTAGACAATGTTTAGATAATTAAAATGAATAAATATGAACTGCTTCCGCTGCATAGCAACCTCAGTTTCTTAATAAAAAGTATTCAGGTAATACTTTTTGCATTAGTCTTATTTCAGAATTACTTGGTTTTAATTAAAATAAAACACAAAATTAATTTGATACAATTTATTAGTTATTTGACATTGTTTACACTGTTTAGACAAAATTTAGACAAAATATGTAAATCAAAATGAACGCAGTAAATCTTAATACGCAGTAATCATTTCTTGGGCAACTTCTTCAGCAAGTGGTCTTCCAGATAAATACTCAACAATCGACAGGGCAAAGTGCCAAGAAGTATAATTCCCTCTGCTACTAATGAAATTTCCATCTTTAACGACATCGTCATATTTGTAGATGTAATTATCACCCTCGCGAACCATATCTTCTACCACCTTAGCGGGATAAGAAGTAATTTTTCTTCCGTACATGATTCTATGATTTTTCAACGCGATAGCTCCTAAATATAAGAAATATGTGATTGAGATAAATGATTCAGTTGAGTTAATCAATTTTACCAGTGCAAATAGATGCAATTAATCGACCACAATTTTCTTGCTCTCTTAAAATTTTTCCTACATCCGGATCATCAGTTAAGCTCCTCCACCCATTTCTTCCACCCCCAACGACAATGACATCATAAGGACCACGATGCATGGCTTCTTTTAAGGTGGTTTCAGGTACAATGTACATCCCTCTAGATCCAATTACAGGATCTTTCGTTTTACTTGCGATAATAACTTCGTACTAAATAAAATTAAAGAATTATTTATTCTTAATTAATTTAATAAATACACTTACATTCGCTCTTCGAAGAACACTAACTGGAATGATGATTTCATTCTCTTCGTTTTGGGGATACATCAAAACTAAAGCTTTTTTAGCCATCTTTTGTAATTTATTTTTTGTTATTTAGGTTTAGGTTCAACTCAAATCACAAACTGATATTATTTGTCTGGTGGTGATCGTATATATAGAGACGGAAGCCAGATTAGAACTGAGATTACGCTTATTTTTCTTTTATTAACCGCACCGTGTGGTATTTTTTAAAAAGACGCAATTGGAAAATTCCTCAGTTCTCATGTGTTTGTATGTAAAACGGAAATTACGTGGTCAGGTTAGTAGCGATTACTCACCGTAAACTAATCTTCGAAAAGTTTCCTTTGTTTAACATTTAAAAACAATATCATGAGTATTAAGAATTATTTTGAAGCTATTTTGAGTCATTCAGATTCATTAGAAATATTGGGAGTGTATTGGGGCAAATAGAAACCACTGATTGTGAGATGTACGAACTTATTTTAATTTCTTTAAATTGTTTTAATACTATAAATTCGCTATTTCTAAAAAGTTATCAGATAATGATGTGTTTCTTTTTCGAAAACAGTCATATCTCAGTTAAGTTGTTTATTTTCCATTGGGGGGCGATGCATCTCATGCCTTTGTCTGTGTGGCAACCGACGAGGTCGAAATAAAAGAACCGATCCACGTTAACTTATTGAAGTCAACCGGCTTCGGTTTTTCTTCGAATATTTTTTTGCGTTTATTTTTTGGTTTTTTCTCGGTTTTTCCCCCGACCAGGGTCACTGTATCAGGGCTACCAATCGACGACGGTGAAGAATTATGCAGTGCGTTCTTACATGCAAATAGTCATCCGACCCTTTATTCCTTTCCTTTCAATGCTTTGTGCGCAATCTTTAAGAAGAAACAGGTGGTCTTTAAATTTTTTAAACAATTCAAATTCTTCGCGTTTTCTTTTAAATTTACATGGTTTTCTCCGACAATAGGCTTGAATCCTTCTAACATTTTTTGTTTATCCCGCTAGGAAAAAAACGCGGAGCACGTGTCGAAATCGATTTGCCGACCGAAACAATTTAGTAAAGCAAACATTCTTCGTTCATGGAAAGAAAAGAATAAGCGACGGCTCGCCATTGTGTTGCTTGAGGGCAGCCGATTGTCTGCTGCCTTCCCATGCTGGAATAAACTCACTCCGTAACGCGTTTTAAATTGAATTTCGTGGAAATTCCGCGGTAGCGGCGAGAAACGGAAGAAAATAACGAGAGAACGAAGCACATAAGAGAGCACGTTATTAGATTTTTTTAGATGGTAGGGCATTCTTTTGAACGTTCTATGACTTTACTATTTACCTTTTCATCTTTTTAAAACTATTTAAAACAATATGCATATATACTTACAGGTAAATAGATACCCATATTTCCAGGGTATATTTGCATCTTGTATTTCGAACAAGACTTCGTAACGAACGTGATACTCGAGTTTGAATAGACTAAATTTCGCGGAGATTCTCGTATTTTGATTAAATCCTTAATATTAAATTTTAACCTTGATCGTTTCCATCATTTAAATTTAAGATGTAAATAAATGTTGAAAATCAATATTATACAGGATGATTTACATAAGAACCGACACAGAGCAGGGACATGTAGATGATAATAAATTAAGATGATTTAAAGTAACTTACCTCTATACTAAGTTGTACAGGGTGGTTCAAATTCGATGTCCGAATAGGCTAACTCGAAAACTATAAGAGTTAGAAGAAAAGTAGCTGACATGTCATGATCTCGTTTTTCGAGAAACTGCTAATGCCGAAAATCTCATACCGCTATCGTCTTTTGTTTTTCCGCTAGAGGCCAAAATTGAAAATATCGTAAAACCCGCAAATGTAATTATCTTGGTTATTATTATAGGTGGAGTATTATAACTAAGACATTATCTGGACACTTTTTTACAGAGAATTTGATGACGTAGTCAAAAAAATTTTTTCGGTTTTAGATTTTGAGATATTATCACAATTTTCGTTTTTTTAAATGGAAACAACCACTGATTATTCGCTTAATAAATTCGTAATTTTTTTCTGATTACAAAAATATAGGGTTTGAGAGGTCTATTTCTTATTGTTTTAGAATAAAACTAAAAATAAACTTTTCTTTTAGTGTCGTCGAAGAAATTAAATTTACAGTTTCCTGTAAATTACGGTTCTATAACTAAAAATTAAAAAAACATATTTCTGATATTTGAAACAAATATATTTGTTGAACTGTTTAATTTAGATATGTTTTACACAAAAGTTGGAATAGATTACATTATTTCACATTTTTTATTACGATTTAATATTATTTTTAAATGACTTAATAAATTATCGATAGATGGCGCTCATGTGTTTTTTTTTTAATTCAAATAAACAGCAACATTTGTTTGTATTCGAAAATTTTCTGAAGTGTCACTTTAAAAATCCTGTTTTTAAGATCAATTACGAAAATTTTGAAAAGTTTGACATGTTAGAATGTTACATATTAAAAAATTATTTGTTTTTAAATACCAGAAGTTATCTTCGTATTTAATTGTTAACTTTTTAGATTTTACCTACCGCCCCGTAACTTACAGGAAACTGTAAATTTAATTTCCTCGACGACACTAGATGGAAATTTTATAAAAAAAGTTTATTTTTAGCTTTATTCTAAAACAATAAGAAATAGACCTGTCGAACCCTATATTTTTGTAATCAGAAAAAAATAACGAATTTAATAAGCGAATAATCAGTGGTTGTTTCCATTTAAAAAAACGAAAATTCTCATGATATCTCAAAATCTAAAACCGAAAAATTTTTTTTGACTATGTCATGAAATTCTCTGTAAAAAAGTGTCCATATAATATCGTAGTTATAATACTCCACCTATAATAATAACCAAGATAATTGCACTTATTGGTTTTACGATATTTTCAATTTTGGCCTCTAGGGGAAAAACAAAAGACGATAGCGCTATGAGGTTTTCGACATTAGTTTCTCGAAAAACGAGATCATGACATGTAAGCCACTTTTTTTCTAACTCTTATAGTTTCCGAGTTAGCCTATTCGGACATCGAATTTGAACCACCCTGTACACCTGAGGAGTTAGAGGCCTTCAAAGTTGGCTCTTAAATTTTTAAAAAGTTCAATATCTTCGTAATAAATTAAGCTAGAAAACCCAAATTTGGTATACGTTATGAGTGTACCAAGGGTATTAATTTGTAGTAAATTGAACTCAATTGAGGCATTTCAAAGGGTTGATTAAGGGTGATGGTACCTTAAATTTTGACAGATTTTTTTAACCTTTTGGCGGATTTAATACATTACTACTTCATTTCATGTAGAATTTAATTTTAAAACTTTTCTTACTCTTATTATTTTTTAAAAAACCTTGTCGTTTTCCTAAAAAACTTAAATAACTAAAGACACTTGTTTCGTAATGTTTCTTAAATAAGCGAAAATTCAGTAGTCGGCTATGAAATTGTACGTCAAACTTGACAAGTAGGTTATAAAATTATTTGACAACAAGGTTTTATAACCTATTTGTCAAGTTTGACGTACAATTTCACAGCCGACTACTGAATTTTCGATGATTTTAAGTAGCATAAACGAAATACATGTTTTTAGTTATTTGAGTTTTTTATGAAAACGACAATGTTTTTTAAAAAATAATAAGAGTAAAAAAAGTTTTAGAATTAAATTTCACATGAAATGAGGCAATAATGTATTAAATCCTCCAAACGGTTAAAAAAATACCAAACTTGGTTTTTCTAGCTTAATGTATTACGAAGATATTCAATGTTTTAAAAATTTAAGACCCAACTTTGAAGACCTATAACTCCTCAGGGGTACAACTTAGTATAGAGATAAGTTGCGTTAAATTATCTTAATTTATTGTCCTCTACATGTCCTTGCTCTGTGTCGGTTCTTATGTGAATCACCCTGTATATAAAAAAGAAAATTTCTCCTAAAATTATGGTTTAAACATATAGTTATGTTACATAGTCTTAAAGAGGATTTTAAGTTTTCTTTTAAGATATAAATCGTTTCTTAACTCTAATAAATAAACCGGATGTGATGTAGCAAAAATTTTGAAAAAATAAAACGAGAGAATTTCAAACATTTTGCACAAAATATTACACCCCGCGGTTGTTGTACTTAGACGCAAACACTGCTTCACATCCCGAGCGTTAATTAAATTCAACAAAAGCGGTCGTCCCGCATTTTGGTTTTACCCATGAACCCTGTTTATTTTAATTAACGCTTCCGGCGCAAGTAAAATTCCTTATAATAGCAAATCCTATAAAAAGACTTAACATTATTGTAGGCATACGATAGGATTACACACACAATTATGCAATTAAATACAAGATTAGATATCGAAAAAAAAAGGATTATACCTATCAACACCCCATAAAGAATAATCACAGTGAGTGCAAAACTTTGGACTTTGTAAATTTTGTTTCAATTTTATTTTTTACTCAATTCCCATATCTCGTGTAACTCATAAACCTGTGCCAGGTTTACGCTTGTTGCGTCTATTGATTTTGCGTTTTCCCAACGCATACACAACAATAATAGAGCCCGAATAGAATACGACATGCAAAAAAATTCACGTGTATTTTTTTGCTACTAACTAAAAAACGTTTACTGTTTTTCTAGTTTTGTTGTTGATTCTTATTTTTGAAATTGGTCAAGAATATGTCGACGTTAAAGCGTGTTTCCGATAGCTCTGACACCAGACGAAGTGAAACAAAACCGATTCCGGGCGTCGAATTAAGATAATTAAACCCGATAGAGTCCGCGTTCGAGGACAATATCGTGCTGATGAGATCCGTCATCCCAATTACTGGCGATGATTGGGACGAAATAAGGCTGATTTTTCATAATGGCACTTCGTTAAGTTCACCCGCGACGCGTTACAATACCATGAAAAGGATTCGTTTAATTGAAGACGGTGGTGGTTTTTTTTCTTGATCATTGTTGAACGAGAGATATGAGTTTTAAGAAAAGGACGAGTAGTAAAAACGAACACAAAGGGATTTAATGTGGAATCTTTAATACCACGAAAATAAAAGTGAGAATCGTTTGTTCTCTATATCTTCTGAATACTCCCTCTAAATTATTTATGTATAAAATTTT